TTTATAAATTTTAATTTTATATTTTTTAATAATAAAATGATAAACTTTCCTAAGTAACTTAGTCCTAAAACTTCTTAATGTTGTTCTAACCCATAACTTTTTTTAAGGATTTGATTCCATTAATTTTAAGTAAATCCAAAACCTTTCTTTATACCAAAAATACACTATGATTTCATAAAATTTATAGATTATTACAAAAATAGGTTACTCAGATTCTCATGGGTCACTATATATATAAATAAAACTAAGGCTTGAGAATACTCCTCTTACTTGGAAATGATTCCTCAAAAACTAGTTCTTTGAGAGATCTAATAGAGAAGTTCCACGATATCAACAGGAATATCGTCCACAAGATGAAGTTTCTTAAGTATTTCAAGATAGATATCTTAATATGAGAAGAAAATTGAAGGAAAGGAATAAAACTAGAGACCTGAATTTCGAGAAACTTACTTGGATTCGAATGAAATTGATGTTTTGAGCTTGGATCTAGAAAAGATTCAAAGTTTAGGAGAGTTCTCCCTTGAGAAAGGAAGTAGAGAGAACAGAGAAAATGAAGAGAGAATGTTGTATGGTGAGAAATGAACATTTTGAGGCTGGAGTTCCTTAAATATCTTTCCAAACTCGCATGACCTCGCTTGAGTGATAAGATTCTCACTTGAGCGAGATCCACCCTCGCCTAGGCGTGACAACAAGACAGCGAAACTACTCATCTTTCTGATATTCTCGCTTGGGCGAGGACACTCTCGCTTGAGCGAGATACAATCTCGCCTGAGCGAGCTCTACCTCACTTGAGCAAGATCGAGTCCAAAGAGCACCCTATCTTTCCTGTGACTCCTCGCTTGGTCGAGCTTTATCTCGCTTGGGTGAGTTGCTCCCAGCCTAAGTGAGACTCCTTTCTAGTCTAAGTGAGAGGACAGTTGGGGCAACTTTATCTCATCTCGCTTGAGCAAAAGAATTACAGAACGTTCTCTTCACTACTAGAAAAGTGCCATTTACAGACGGTCATTATCTATCTGTAATACAGATGGCTTTACAGACGAATTTGTGATTTTTTTTTTAATTTTATGAAAAATCCGTTTGTAAATCTGTCTGTATTACATATTACATGGCCGTTTGTAGTTTGTTCGCCATTTGGTGCGAAATAATATGGACAGGAATTACAGACGAATTTTTTCGTCTATAATTTGAAAATGGGAGGAAAATTTGGAGCGAAAGTTAAAGACAGAAAAATCCGTCTGCAAATATTGCCCCTCTTTGACCGACTTTTCATCTATTTACATTAAACTATTTACAGACGGATTTTTTCGTCTATAATGTGTGAAATCCTTAAAACTGCGCCTCCTCCTTCTCCTTCTTCATTTTACATAATTTGCTCTCTCTCTCTCTCGCCTCTCTCTCTCTAGGAACTTCAGTTTTTTGGCATTTGTGAGTGATTGAAGCATTCATTTGAAACATAATTTGCACCATTGTGTTCCTGGTACGATACTCTAACTTTTAATCGGTTTATTTTTTTTTTATTTTTGATGTATTTTAGAGACTTAAAATTTCTAAGATAAAGTTGTAGGATTAGAGATTGTATGACTGGGGGGAAGGGCGTAGAGGTCCTTCTCTGAACCTGATTATTGTGTGTTGTGGGATCATTTGTGTTTGTGAAGTTTGTAGAATATGCATATTGTAGAGTTATAAGGGGATGTGCTCTAGAATGGTTTAGGATTGTAATGTGTATGTTTTTTATACATTGATTAATAAATTGTTACATAATATATAGATTATGTGTAAAGAAAATTTAAATTTTTGTATTAAGTACATGTAAACAAATGTAAGGAAATATTAATATATTAGGGAAGATTCTGTCGAAAAAATTTGTTATATTAAGTTTAAACAAATATAGGAAAATATTCATATATTAGGGGAGATTCTACCAAAATTTACATTAGAAATTTTATTTATTAAGTGTAAACAAATATAAGAAAATATTCATATATTATGTGAGATTCTGCCAAAATTTACATTAGAAATTGTGTAATGGTCCGCACTCAGGTTCATGTCCTCAATGAAGAACTGCAGAAGCAAAATGAAGAGATATGGAAGAGTAAGGAAAGTGCATGGAAGAAGAAGTGGGCGAAGAAAATGGAAAAGAAGATAGAGAAGAAGATGACATCGAGGATGCAGAGGGAGGTACAGTAACTGATGCAGCAGCAGCATATGCAGATGCATGCATACTTTAAGCTCATGAGAGCAAGTACCTCTACACCTCTTCTTCCTCCTCCACCAGCTCCAACACCACCAATCTTTAGCTCCATGCGTCATTTCTCTTCTGACTCTTCTTCTACTAATGGCGATCCTTTTTCGAAAGATGATCACACCGATTATTAGTGATGTACAATGTTATTTTATTTTTTATATTATTTTTTTAGATGTTTACTTATTTATTTGTAATGAAATTTTAATTTTATATTTTATATATAATTTTATAGTTTTTATTATTTTTATAAATTGTGATAATTAGGAATAGCGAGGAATAATTATGTTTATAAAAAAATGAAATAATTTTTTTAAAATTTCATAAATGAATTATGGACGAAAAAATCCATTTGCAATTTATAAACAGATTATAGATAAATTTTTTCATCTGTAAATTATAGACGAATTTTTACATCTATAAATTACAGACAAATTTTTTCATCTGTAACTTGCAGACTGATTTTTTCATTTGTAAATTACAGACGGAATCCATCTGTAATAATGAAAAAATTCATTTATAAATTCGTCTATATTTTCAAGTTTTCTAGTAATGCTTTTAGAAAATCCTATCTCGCTTGAGCAAGATACCTTTTATCTAAATTTCTATTTTTCCTACACAAGAGCAACAAAATTAAGGGTGTTACAATTCTTCCATCTTTTTAGGAATTTCGTCCCCAAAATTCACTTACTAATACTCATATTTCCAAAATTCCTCAAAATCTCAAAACATTAATAGATCCAATAACTAATAAGACCTCCTTGAAATACCAATTTCCAGTTTATTTATTGAATCTTTTCTAACATTGTACATATCCTTTTTTTTTCCTCCATATAAAGACTACATATTCTACTTTTGAATTTGTTGAGTCAGCTAACGTTGCAGCAGGACCTTATGTCCTTTGTTTTTTTTTTCCCATATTACCTAACATCATGTATATATATCTAAATTGCACTAGAATGATGTTACTTATATATGAAACTTTATGGAAAGACACATCGTACTCCTATTGTTAGATTCAAACTTTCAAATTTTTCCTCAATTAACACTTCCTTTAGTGTCACTACTTGAATGCATATTAACTTCTTATTTCCCATTTCCTTACCACCTTTGCCTTACAAGATTGGTACAACTATTCTAAATCATAATTGTTCAAAAATTCCATTTACTTATTTTACCATTCATTTAACCTTGTATCCAAACACATACTTAGGTTTTTAGTGATTGTCAATTTCTTCTATTAATGTAGCATCCATGGACCTTGATACAAACTTTGTTATTGCTAAATGACAAAGTTATAAATTTTTTTTATATTTTTTAACAATAAAATGATATAATTTTCTTTTAATTTAGTTATTCATTTTTATTTTTTTCAAATATTTTTTCAAAATTGGTTTTTTTATTTCATATAGCCTCTCTTTTAATAATGTATTAAATTTTAATAATTTTATATATTTTAAGAATTTTTTATTATCATACTAGCTCTTTTTATATTTTTTGTAAAAATTATAGTTAATATTGTTTTTATTGAGAAAGGAGCTTATTGCAAAGGCAAATAAAACATATTTTAAAAATAAATTTATTTTTTTACATTTTGTATAGTTAAAATATATTTATACTGTAGGTGAAGACTACGATGAGTTAGTAAAGTAAGTGTCTCATAAATAAATTAGCAAAATGATTTGTTATAACAGGTTTTCAAAATTTGAATATTTAAAATTTAATCATTACTAAATTTTACAGATAAGGAATTTTGATCTCTTAAATATTTAAAATAGATCCTTCTTTAATATAATTCTTTTTAAAGTTAAGAAAGAACATAATTGTTTACTCATGTAAAACTTATCATATTCTCTCAAACTCACTCTTATCTTTATTTTTTTAAGACATTAAAGATTTTGTTTTTGTGTTTCTAATGTAAAGTTCAATGATAAATTGAATGACTGTACTTGAAATTTACTTCATAAAAGTTAGAAAAGAGAAATTCAATGCAAGAAATCTAATGAAGTCATGTAATCCTCTTTTAAAATGTTGTCGTAGAAGCTTTATTCAATTTCTCGAAATTTTATTTCAATTCCTTCTTATTTTTTCTCTTGATAGTATGCAAACATGTTTCTCACATCTACTTTAAACCCTAAATCTATATGATCATTTTTCCTTTAGATTGTTATATATTTTCAAATGTAAGAGTCCTATTTGAAAATATCATATACTCATCTCAATTATCTTAAATAGAGTTTATGAAAAAATTTAGAGATCTAACATAACATTTAATATTTTATTGATTCAAAAATTATTTTTTATTATGTATTCAAATTACATTTAAATGTGCATCTTAATGTATATTTTCTTAAAATAATAAAGTTAAAAGATACAAGATACATAAAAGTAAAGAGAGAAAAATATACAGTAATAAGTTTTGAAACTACAAAATAAAAAAATTTAAAATTTTTAAAAAAGTTAAAAATTTTTATAAAAAATTAAATAATAAATATATATAAACTTACATTATTAAGTTTACAGTTAAAAGATTTGAATCATTTATATAATTCAAAATTCATGTTACGGTTAAAATAAGAGATGCTAGCCTCCACTCTTTTTTATGTTAGAAAAGTGAAAAAAAATTTATACCTAAAAAATTTGCAAGTATTCATTTTGAAAACGACAATTGAGAACTGAATGTAACTACGAGTTTGTTTATTGAATAAAAAATATCATTTACCAAAAGCCAACTAGCGAAGCCCAACAAGGGAACAACAAAAACAGGGAGAAACTAGTGATCAGAGAACAACCGCAAACAGATCTCCGTTTCTCGTCAAACAAAAAGAAAATGGCTGCATTCAGCGGCGACGAAACGGCTCCTTTCTTTGGCTTCCTCGGAGCCGCCGCGGCCCTCGTTTTCTCCTGTAACCAACAAACTCAAAGATTGTGTTTTTATTTTGAATTCCTAAAATGGACGTCGTTTTGGTGAAACTGTGTGTCGTTTGATTTCTTCAGGCATGGGAGCGGCATACGGCACAGCGAAGAGTGGTGTGGGGGTGGCATCGATGGGAGTGATGAGACCGGAGCTGGTGATGAAGTCGATCGTGCCTGTTGTGATGGCTGGTGTGTTAGGTATCTACGGTTTGATCATTGCGGTTATCATAAGTACGGGCATTAACCCCAAAGCCAAATCTTATTATCTCTTTGATGGCTACGCTCATCTTTCTTCTGGTCTCGCTTGTGGCCTCGCTGGCCTCTCCGCTGGCATGGCCATTGGCATCGTTGGCGACGCCGGTGTTAGGTATTCCATTCCTCTTCCTTTCTTCTTTTCTTTTTATATTAATTATTTTAGGGAGACTAAATCATGTCCGTCTTCTTGCTCATCCCAAAAGATTAGTTGGGACTCCAACTTGCAACCTCACAAATACTTGCTCCACTCAACAATCTTTTTAAGTAATTATTCACTTTAGTTTCTCACCTCATAAACGTTCTATAATTTTTAGCTTTATAAATTTTTTGTTTTATTTCTTAATTTTTTTTAAGTGACTCATTTTATTTTAGTTCTTTTTACTTTATTTTCATTATTGTTTTGTATAAAAAAAAAGGATTAACATGAATGTTGTTTTGTAAAATCAAGGATTGAAGTTAGATTTGAGGAAAACGAGTTACTCCAATATTTTTCTATTATTACATGTCCCATTATATTATTGTTACTTCTACTATATTACTGCTAGTGCTACTACTGCTGTTTCCACTTTTTGAATACTTCGTTCACTAAGATAATTTTTGGCTCATTTTTGTGAAACCTGCCCCTGCGTTTGGTTTAGTTCCCATCATAATAGCTTTTTTCTGCTCATTGTTTAGCCAATTATCTTGATGTCTGTATTTATGAAAAAAAAATTGTCTGGTAAGTGTCTTATTGGTTGAAGATAAATGGTTACCATGTTGGTTGGGAAGTGTGGAAGAGATCTTATGGTTTACTGATATAAAAATTGAACGTTTGCATGATTTTATTCTGATAAAATGCATGGAAAGCAAAAAGTAGTACAGAACCGAATAACTTTTATTTACTTTGTTGCAAGAAAGATTAGTTTGTTGGTTTTTTCAGATCCTAGGATAATAGTACAGTATCTCTTGTTTGGAAAATTTCTATTTGGTTAGTTTTATGTGGTGGAGTAAGTAAAGCACCAAATTAGTCTCTAAGGAAAGAGTTTGAAAGATAAGGGAGGAGAAGGGAAGGGAGGAGGAAGGAGTTTTAATACAAAACCCCTCAAATTGGAAGAAGTTAAAAATATGGGATTAGGAGGGTTTATAAACCCTCCCCCTTTTATCTAAAATTTTCTAAACATGGCTAAACACTACTGAGCCTTCCCCTTTCCTTCCTTTCTCTTTCCCCAAAAATCTGCTCCTAAGGCTTTGTTTAAGAGTTTAAAAGGAGAGGGAAAAAAAGAATTTGAAAGGTAAGGGAGGAGACGAGAAAGAAGGAAGAAGGATGGTTAGTACAAAACCCCCAAATTGGTGGTACTTAAAAACTAGTGATTAGGAGGGTTTATAAACCCTCCCCTTCTCTTCTAAAAACTCCCACACAAGAATATCAATCACATTTGTCTTTTCCTTCCCTTCCTTTCTCCCTAAAAATCAACTCCCAAACAAAGCTTTAGGGATCAAATTATTGTTGTTAAGTATCTATAAGGACTAAAAAGATTGTAGTTTGATAATTTTAGGGACTAAAATGACATTTTTGTAACTTCGATGATTAAATTGACTGGTATCATGATTTCAGGGGCTAATGTGATGTATTACTCTTTTAAGTGGCACATGCCGCACATCATGTTACATTTTTGGTTTGCTCCTGTCAATTCAGTACTCACTAATGGTAATTTAAGCTTCATTTTAATGGATTGAATTTGACTTGCTGATAACACGTTTTGTAGAGCAAATGCTCAACAGCCAAAGCTTTTCGTTGGAATGATTCTCATTCTCATTTTTGCTGAGGCGTTGGCGTTATACGGTCTCATTGTTGGCATCATCCTCTCTTCCCGTGCTGGCCAATCTAGAGCTGATTAATATAAAATTTTATGTTGGATGTGGTACACTGAACTGCAGATTGTGAATTTTACAGCGGAGTTGGCATGGATAAGGTTATGGTAGTAGATAGGCTTTTGCTTTGTTTAGTTCATTTGGTTCTATTATGAACTGGTTATAAAATTGAGGCTATCCTGGAATAAAGTGCGTCTTGGCTCGTCACTATTTTTAATTAGATGCTCATTTAGAGATCTCTATAATAAGATTGGTGTTTGTTTTTGTATGTTCCAATAACATTCAGTATAGTTTTCTACTTTTGGAAACACCTCTCACCTACCCTCAACCCATTCTCATAATTTATTGAGATGTGATCTGTTGATATGGCTTCCTTTTATTTCTTTTTTATTGGCATGATTGTCTTCTTGCTCGTATTTGGTGTGAAGTAAATAGGATAGATGTCGCTGGTCACGACGGGATGACGATTGGGTAAAGAAAAAAACGAAGAACGTAAAAAAGGGTTACAATCAGCTTAAGAAAAAACTGATGACATAGAATTGCTACTAAAACTTATTAAAGAAAATATTAAAAAAAATTAATAAAAAAAAATCTTTAAAACTATATTTGTATTTGACAGTCAGAAGGTATATAAGTATCTTACAATGTGCGTCAGATAAAATGGTTATTCTTTAATTAATTGTATAAAATTATTTTAACTTTAAAAATATTTATTTTGTTTCAAAAAAATAATTCATATTTCTTTGCTATTTTTGAATTTGTTACTACGTTTTGGTTTTATTTTTAATTTTTACAATTTATGAGAAATTTTACTTTTCATATTTTTAAAACAAAGAAACAAATTTTAGAAAAAATTTTAATTTGAATTAAAGTAATAAAATATTTATAACAATATTATTCTTTTTTTTGTTTTTGGATAAAATAAATATAGTTTAGAAAAACTTATTTTGATATTTTATTTTTCCTAATGAAATTAAGAAAATGCAACAATTTCATTTTTTTATTTTTTAGACAGAAGTACTTGAAATTATTCTTAATCTGTTTAAATTGAAATTAGATAGAGTATATATAAAAAAAATGTCTTTTGAAGTTTTAGAACCTGAAAAAAGGTTTAAAAATATTTTAGACTTGAAAAAATAAAAAAAGATTTTGCACTTGATGGGTTAGGTTTTCACTCATGTATTCTCTGAGTGAGAACAAATTAAAACCATGTAGTTCTTTAAAAAATCAGGTCTAGATAAGTTTCAAATATTTTTTTAAAAAAGATTATTTTTAAATTTTTTTATTTTTGAAATAAATTCACCCTTGCATAGGATTTAAGTTAGCACACAATTACTCAATAAATTCTTACGATTCAAACAACATTGAAAGTTAATTTACCATTCTATCAACATCACTTAGTTGTTGTGTAGATTCAAAATTATTTTAAAAATATTAAAATTTTCTTATTTTAAAAATAAATTCACTCTTGCACATGGTCTAAGTTAACACACAGCTATTTAATACTTTTACGATCCAAAAAATATTGAAAGTGAACTTACCACTCTATAAACATCTTTTGACTATTGGGGCTAGAGAAATTAGGTTTGATCTTTTTAGGGTTGGAAAAAGAATGATTGTTGGGGCTAGAGAAATTAGGTTTTAGGGTTTGCAACAAAAGAATTTTTACGGTTAGAAAAAAAAATTTAGAGTTTACCATAAAAGAAAAAATTTTAAGTTTAAAAAAAAAATTAGGGTTTGTCAAAAAGACTTTTAGGGTTCAAAAAATAGAGTTATTTTTAGGTTTGCAAGAAGAGGAAAGATTTTTAGGTTAGAAAATTAGGGTTTGAAAAGATTAGTTTCTTTTGGAATTTTGTAAAAAAAGGGGGGGGGGGGGGGGGGAGGAGGAGATTTTTAGAGTCAAATGATACAGCCAAAAAGAAAAATTGATAAAGAAAATCTCATTTGAAGTATTTTTGTTAGGGAAAAATATCAACACAATGAAATGAGATAAATAACATAATAAATAGTGTAAAGAGAGGAAAAAAATATCTTTTTTTATATTTTTTTGTTATGATTTATTATTGAACTTAGAAATAGGAATTAAAACAACTAAGAGTGTGAAATAAATAATAGCAATACAACGAAATAAGATCAATAACATAATGAAGAGTGTAGAGAGATAAAAAAAAAAAAAAATCTTACTTGATACACTTTTGTTTAGGTTTTTTTGTTTAGTCTTTAATCTTTGTACCCTTTTTCTCACTTTTTGTTGACTTTTCCAAGATTTGAATCATGTTGTCTTTTCTTTGGTGTTTTTTTGAGTATATATACTCTAAGATTAGTGAATTTTCTCAAAGTTTCTTTGTCCTTTGAAGACTCTCCTCTTCAATATTTTCACTCTCTTTGCTTTTAGGTCTCTCTCTTAAATTCTTTATCTTTTTTTTTCTCTTTGCTCCTAAATTCTCTCAATTCTCTCTTGCTTTTTGTTCTTTTGTTTCCCGTGCTCTAAAAAAGGTGTCCCATTTGTTAGGGACCTAAGTTTTCTATTTATAATTACTTTCAGAAACCCTAAATCCTATTTTATTATTTTTTATTTTAAAAAATAAAAGACTCTAACTTTCTTACTTTTCGAGTACTATTAATCTACTCTTCTAAAAATCTATCATTTCTTATCAATTTTTTTTTCCATTAACCTACTTATCTGACAATAAAAAATATCTAACTATTTTTAAATTTAAAATTTTTAAATCCTATCCTCCTATATAATTTTAAAATTTTAAATTCTATAGAATTTAATTTTAATTTTTTAAATTCATAAATTCTAACTCCTTGTAAAATATAATTTTTATTGAGTATTCACAATAGGTTTTTGGATCAAAAGTAAAATTGTCATTTATATGTAAAAAATTGACTATAGGCATTGGTACTTAACATGCTATAATGATATATTAAGCTGATAATAGGTGGTAAATTAGCAAAAGTAGATCTTGTTGATAGTATTGTAGCTATTGACACAAAGCAATACTTAGGTTGTTTGATTTCTAAATGAAAGATGTTCACTTTATTCCTTGAGATAATAAGTGACAGACATTTAAGTTTTAAATTTTTTTTAAAATGTTATGTTAGTTCCTGGGTTATATTTTTATTCATCAATTTAGTCCTTCGAATCATACATTGTCAACACACATTAACATAATATTGAAGTGATATATATAATTGATTGCATAACAATATCATATATAGCATGATATATATTTTCATTTCATTTTAGTCATTAAAATTATCATTTATTAAGTATTTTAGTCCTCGACTCTTAAAACATTTCATCTATTTACCTTTTTCTTTTTCATTTTTTCTTAACATTACCATCATCGAAAATTACCATTACCAATCATTATTTGCATTTGCATTCTTCATAGGTGACTTTGCCACTGCCAATGGTTCGAATTGCTCCTTTTAGGTCAACCTTTTATGCACCATTGTTAAGTTGTAAGAGTCACTGGAACTCTATCCTTAGGCCAAGTTCTCTAATAAACCAACCAATGTAAACTTAGATAACAACTCCATTGTTTCTTCACTCGTTGGGTTGACACCCACATACGTAGTGCCAAGCTCAAAGTTGTGAAATAATCTTTTAAGGAAAACAATCTCGACAAAGTCAAAACAATAACCATGGTTCTAAAGAAACAATTCTCTTATCCTAAGTTAGTTGCTCCAACACTTGATGTACATGGAAGGTTTCAAAAAATTTAGTTGAGTAACTTTTGAAGAAATTCAACAACGATTGAGTCCTAACTTTTGAATTTTTCAAATGAATAAAAACTTAAACTTTGACAAGGCCCAAAAGCAATGGAGGAGACGAAGGAACATGGGTTTGTCCCTTATATTTACTCATATAATTTGACATAGCTAATTAACTTTGTAATAACCCCTTTTTCTTGGGTTAATGTTTAAGTTTAAAGTTGCTAACAGAAACATAGACAAAGATAGTGCTAACATTGGTAGTTTTTGATAATGATAAGTGTTAAAGAAAAATAAAAAATAATGAGTAGATAAAAAGTTTTAAGAACTAAGAACTAAAATGTCTAATACATCATAATTTTCAAATATTAAAATAAAATAAAAATATATATTACATTTATACAATGTTATTTTTAATACAAAATCAATTGTACATGTCAAGTAACATATTAGTATTCTATTAATGTGTGTTAATTATGTGTGATTTGAATAATTAAAATGATAGATAAAAATAAGAGGTCAACCTAATATTTTTATAATTTTAAAAACTAAAATCCTCAATATACAACACATTTGAAACAAACATTTGGTAAGCGGTCACGACCATGCCATGTTGTACCAAAGTCACTAAGTCAAGATAGCTACTTTTAAGAACCCCTCTCCCAAATGAACTATTTTTTTGTTTTTCTAAATATTTTAAAAAATTCTACAGTACTCTATAAAAATAAGAAAGTATTCTATGCTCTCTTACATGTAGAATAATTATAACTGTTAATTTTATATCAATGGATAGTGGGATTAATGATTTATTTAAAAAACATAAATACTTTTTAATTTCTAAAATATTAAAGGAATCACAACCTTTAATTTAAAAATAAATATATAATATTTCTTCAAGTTTAAAAATATCATAGCAAATAATCTCTCTTTCACTTTGAGAATATTTTGTGGGTCCCAACTCGTGGTGCACACAACACAACCTCCTCATGGACAGTGGGATCAAAATCTTGTTTCCTATGTCTCCATTCCCTTAGGCTGCATTTGGGAACAGTGCCTATGTACCTAAGAACATGGACACTGTAATAATAGAAAGATAAGAATAAGATTAATTCTGTTATTAGTCATTAATATAACGTAAAAGCACAAACAAATCTAGTTTTGGCGCGAAAAGTGGTTGTTATCATGGGAAGCCAGGATTATTAATAAGACCTTTTGTACAGGTAATGAATGAGAATTCCGTTATTAGTTCCTCTACAATTCTTGAGAAATTGTGAGTGAGAGGGTGCATTCAAGGTTTGGAATCCATCCAAACCTGACATTGGTATCAGTTAGCTTGTGACGTTTGAGACAATGGTGACCACAAAATAACTTGAAACCCGTTTGGATTCTTTTGAGACGATGTTCGCAGATGCACAAATTTCGACAAGGAACACATTAGATTCATTGCAGCAAGTGATTGAGAGTCTTGTTTCCTCCATAACGTCATTAAACAGCGGCAAGAAAATCGTGACAACTGAGGACGATATTGGACAAACACAAGATTCTAGTCAATCTGTAATTGGACGCACACAAATTCAATTTCCTACATTCGATGGTACCAATTTTCGTGATTGGAGGAAAAAAGTTGAACAATTTTTTGAATTAGAAGGTACACCTGTTGTTCAACGTGGGCGATTGCTACTTCTATCCATGGATGGCAAAGCCTTCTCATGGCAACGACATTACATGCAGCAACCTACCTTTAAGGATAAATCTTGGGAACAAATTTTACATGATGTGGCATTATGGTTTGATGATAGTGCATTTGATGATCCTGTTGCAAAATTATCCAGATTGAAACAAGAAGGAGATTTGGTTGAATATTTGGAAGCTTTTGATTCCTTATTTCAGAATCCATGACATTAAGTTTTTTTTAGTCTGGGTTGAAAGTTGAGTTGGAAAAAATAGTAAGGGTTAATAAACCACAGTCTTTGTCGGAAGCTGTGCATATTGCAAGACTTCAAGAAGAAATCCTCAAAGAAATGGAAAAGAAGATGCAGCAGAGACAGATTGGTAGTCTTGAAACACAATCACAGTACACAAGGTCTTGGTCTACACCTGTTGGTTCACAGAGGGGTCATTCCATCACCAGTCTGCAACAGCATCATTCTTCCATTTACAATTCTTCTCCAGCAACTACAGATTCTAAGGTACCCACTCCAACTTCTATCTCTCAGAAGGAAGTTAGTGAAAGAATTGCTAAAGGATTGTGTAGATTCTGTGGTGATAAACGGGATAAAAATCATAGGATGCAATGTAAGGTATAGGGTAAATTGAATGCAATTTTCACTGCTCAAGAGGAAATAGATGATGCTATCATGCAAGCTACTGATTGCGAGGAGGAACAAACATTAGTGGATAGTAGCATAGCCATGATTCAAGATAACGATGTGCATATTTCTCTCAATGCTCTCCAAGGCATAGCAGGTGGTAATACATTGCAGCTTAAAGGTTTAGTCAAGAAGCAGTACGTGCCTTTTCTGATGGATACAGGAAGTACTCATAATTTTATTAGTGACAAATGGATAAAATTGCTTGGGTTAAAAACACAGTTTGTCAAGGATTTTCTAGTAATGGTTGCTTCAGATAAAAAGTTACTGATCACTAGGAAGTGTGAGCAGATAACATGGAGGTTTGGTGTTCATACATTTGAAGCAGATTTTTTAGTATTACCGAGCAGCACATTTGGGGTCATCCTGGGCATGCAATGGTTCAGGACACTTAGAGAAATTTATTGGAATTGTGCTACTCTTACAATGCATTTTGATCATCATGGCCAGAGGGTGGTATTACAAGGAGAGCAACCTTATTCAAAGATTCAAGAATTGACAGGGAAATTAAAACTGGTACAAGATACTTGCATGTTCTTGGCATTCCACGATTCAGTTTTTCTTAGTGTTACTGATGCAAGGGATCAGGAGGCATTAACAACAGAACAACAATAAGCGCTCACAACCATTCAGCAGCAATTCCAACAACTATTTGTAGAATCCACACAACTGCCACTTATGAGAAAATGTGATCATAGAATTCAGTTGATAAATGAGACACCAGTTTGTTCCAAACCCTATAGATACCCTCATGTTCAAAAAGAGGAAATTGAAAGACAAGTGCAGGGATTATTGGCTACTGGTTTTATAAGGGAAATTGCTAGTTCTTATGCTTCTCCCTTGGTGTTGGTTAAAAAGAAAGATGGTTTGTGGAGATGTTGCACAAATTTTAGAAAACTCAATGCATTCACCATAAAAAATAAGTTCCCTATGCCACTAATAGAGGATTTATTAGATGAATTACATGGGGCATGTTACTTTTCCAAACTGGATCTCAGAAGTGGGTATAAACAAATAAGAATGGCAGAGGAAGATATACATAAGACAACCTTTAGAATACACAGTGGGCATTATGAGTGGGTTGTTTTGCCCTTTGGATTGTGTAATGCCCCAGCCACATTCCAATAACTCATGAATAATATCTTCAAAAATTATTTACGGAAGTTTATTTTAGTCTTCTTTGATGACATCCTCGTCTACACAAAGACTTGGAATGATCATTTAGAATACTTGACAATCACACTGCAAATATTGGAGGAAAATGGCTTGGCTGTCAATTTTAAGAAGTGTAGTTTTGGAAAAAGGAAAATAGAGTATTTAGGCCATGTGATTTCTGTCCAAGGGGTGCAACCAGATAATGATAAGATTTCAGCAATTCAACAATGGCTAGCACCAACGACAATGAAGGAGCTAAGAGGGTTTTTAAGGCTTTCCGGTTATTACTGCAGATTCATTTTGAATTATGGAAAGATTGCAGCTCCGCCAACAGCCTTACTTCAAAAGGAGAAAGAGTTCAAATAGAATGAAGACATTGCAGCTGCATTTCAGAAGCTTAAGGAGGCACTCATGTCTGCACCAATACTGAAGTTACCAGACTTCCAACAATCCTTCACCATTGAGACAGATGCTTCTGGAGGAGGAATTGGGGTTGTTATATTGCAAAATGGCCACCCTATTGCTTATATTAGCAAAGCTATGGGACCAAAGTACAAGTTGCTTTCAGCCTATGAGAAGGAACTCTATGCAGTTTTGTTTCTAGTAAAAAAATGACAGCATTACTATTGGGGACAACATTTCATCATCAAGACTGATAAAAAAGCTCTTCAGCATTTATTATTGCAGCCTCCAACCACTCTGATGCAAAATTGGGGATTGGAGAAGCTTATGGGTTTGGATTTTAGCATCGAATACAAAAAAGGCAAGAAGAATCTAGTGGCAGATGCATTGTCAAGGGCTGACGCTATTGGGTCTTGGAAGACAGATCCAAAATTACAGAAGTTGGTGGATAAAATTTGGCTGACACAACAACCTCATAAGCATTATCAGTTTAATGGATCATTGTTGAAAAGGAAGGGTAAAGTGGTTATAGGTGCTCAACCGGATTTAAGAAACAAAATTTTAAGTCATTTTCATGATTCACCTATTGGCGGACATTCGGGAACTGAACTCACTTACCGCAGGATTAAAGACCAGTTTTATTGGAAGGGCTTACAAAAGGATGTAACCAGATGGATTAAGGAATGTGTAACTTGCCAACGATTTAAATCAGTGAATCAGTTACTTACAGGTCTTCTCCAACCTTTGCCTATTCCTGATAGAGCATGGAAGTCAATTGCTATGGACTTTATCACAGGTTTGCCTCAGTCTTATGGGATGAGTGTCATATTGATGGTCATTGATCGGCTAACCAAGTATGCTCATTGCATCGCCCTTGGACATCCATTCAGTGCAGCAAAGGTAGCAGAGTTATTCATGAACACTATTGTAAGGTTACATGGTTGGCCAGCGAAAATTATCTTAGATAGAGATACCATTTTTCTAAGCGCTTTTTGGACAGGGCTGATGCAGTCATAGGGTGTTAAGTTGTTAAAATCCACAGCCTTCCATCCCCAAACTGATGGCCAAACGGAAAACCTTAACAAGTCTTTAGAGGCCTACTTGTGTTGTGCTACAGGATGCATGCCCAAACAGTGGACAAATCATTTGGCAATGGCAGAGTTATGGTACAATACTAAGTTTCACACAGCCACTCAAATGACACCTTTTGAGGCTTTATATGGTCATGTGCCTACAATTCCTAATTTGATAGACAATGGAGAAACTCTAATTGAGGCTGTCAATTACACTGGGAAGACTAGAATTCAGATTGGAAAAATGTTGCAGAAAAATCTATACAAGGCTCAGGAGAGAATAAGGATGTATGCAGATAAGAAGAGGTTAGACAAGGAGTATAACTGTGGTGATTTGGTGTATTTGAAGATTCAACCTTACAAGCAATATTCCTTGGCTAACACATCCTTTCACAAGCTATCAGCTCGATACTATGGCCCCTACAAGATCATCGAACGAATTGGCAGAGTAGCATACCGGTTGGACCTTCCTGCAGACACTAAAATTCACAATATCTTCCATGTGTCCCTTTTAAAGAAGCATCATGGCAGCCATGTGATTTCCGAACAGTTACCAAAGTTCAATGAGGAAGGGGACTTGCTGACCAGACCACTGGCCATATTGGACAGAAGAATTAAACAAAAGAACGACAAAGCCATTACTGAAGTGTTAGTGTAGTGGGAACACACCAATCCCGAGGATGCAACATGGAAGGAATTACATGAGTTACAAACCCAATATCCAGATTTTGAGTGGACGGTAGTATAAAGGCCTTGGGGACAAGTCCTGTTGTGAGGGAGGGGGGGAAATTGTAATAATAAAAAGATAGGAATAAGATTAATTCTGTTATTAGTCGTTAATATAATGTAAAAGCACAAATAAATCTAGTTTTGGCGCGAAAAGTGGTTATTATTGTGAAAAGCTAGGATTATTAATAAGACCCTTTTGTATAGAATTAAAGATAATGAATGAGAATTCTGTTATTAGTTCTTCTACAAGTCTTGAGAAATTGTGAGTGAGAGGGTGCATTCAAGGTTTGGAATCCATCCAAACCTGACAGAAACCCACTGGAACATGGACACCGGTGGGTGTGAAGGATAGATACACGTTTCATGTTTTATACATTGTAAAAAAGTGGCTATGAACTACTATAAGAAAACAGTCATGTACTTTTTATAAAGAAGAAAATACACATAAAAAATCTACAACCTTGGAATTGCACATCCTTGACAAACCGCTTTACAATCAAGTAGCAATCAGAGTCAGGAACATAAAATCTGAGATTAGATTGTTTATAAAAGGGGGGAAAAAAATTCGTATGTTAAATGGAGCCAGGGGGAATTTTTACATGGCCACAGCAAATTTCCTATGATGTAATCCGCTTCGGCAATCAACCTCATAAAATATGCCTCATACTGGCTGTCCAACCAAAAGATTTCTTTCTTGTGCGCCGTGGGGCAAAGTTGAGCCCAAACATCTCCTTAAAAGCCTGATCTGGCTGTACTGAACCAACCAGCTTTGCAACAATGGTGGCACTCTCTCTAATGCTTTCTGTGTCTTCTGTTTCTGACCACAGGCGGTGAGCCAATTGCAACCTCCTATGCCTTGAATTCCCACTAATACCCCACTTCGAATACAGGTTCTCTCTTTCAGATTTTGATAGCTTCCTCTGCATTTGCTTGCTCAACATCTGTCTCTCTCTTCGAAGATACTTCGTGCTGTTTGCAAAGGAAACCATTGTAGGTTTTTAATTACACAAAATGTGAACTTGTAGTCAAAACAAAATTCATAAAAGCAACACTGAGTACTTGAAATCTTACCTTGATTCAGGGGTAAGGGCTCGTCCGTCTTCCACAGTCTGATTTCCCTGGGCAAAGGTTTGCTTGAGAAAGGATAGCCTTCTCAGCTCAACCTCCATATAGATAGAATCTGACGGGTCCCCTTTGAATAGAAGGAAAAAGTAAGTCCTGTGAACCAATGAAACATTACAAGCATTCCAGAGTTCAATAATCTCTCTTTGCAGCCGCTTAAATTCTGAAGACCATTCCAACTGTTTTTCTTCAACAGATTGCAATGGGTCCAAGCCAACATCTTTGAACTTCTTTGCAGTATTAACGGACTCCAATCCTTTCTCTGAAACCTGCCATGCAAAATTAATCAGAATTACTGGTTGATTTTTCATTATAGAAACGGTTTTGTACTTCTGTTAATAATAAACATACATGCTACTTACACCCTGAACAAGTTTAAGGAAAATACAAAGGAAGCCAGAAAGAATTGAAGGAAGAAAGATGGATAACGGCAGCACACCTCACGTTTTGTCTGTAGATTTGAGCTCTCGCTGTTACTTTCATTATCGGTAGAGGATTTGAGATTCTGTACATCAACAGCAGCACGTCCCAGAGAATTCACAAAACCAGCCCATGATATCCTCTCAGCATTGGCATTATAATTTAAAGTATAACTCTTCCTTTGGAAGCTCTCAGGTCTTCCAGTGAAGTCTTTTTCGATTCCTATTGGCGGGGTGTTCTGAATCATTTCTTCCTGGTCAAACCAATCTGAAGATGAACCTCTCATGAGACTTGCTTTACAACTTCTGCTTCTGGTTAATTTCAAGGTCATAGAACTAGATGCGCTGCTGTCTGCGAGCCATGGAGATGCTTTCGCTGGAGAGGGAAGAACGGAATCTTGTTGGAGGCGATTTGTTTCTTTGTTTTCCTTTAACCCAGATGAACACAAATCTACATTTTCTTTGTCTCTATCATCAACTTCTGTCACTCCTGTGACGGCTGTATTTGTCCCCGGAGATGATGCATTGTTGTCCATGTATAAATTTGGACTTAAATCTGCTGGATTTGAGTGTGTCTGTGTGTTTGTAATTTGGTCTTCTGATTCAATGCACCTAACTTCCCTACAAAGATCTCCTAAATCATCATCATGATCTTCTTCATCACTTTTTTTATCCAAATCATTCCTACCAGCATCAAGACTTACAATAGAAAGCCCTGGGGAAGAAATCCTGACGGGAAGATTCTTTTCCAAATCAGGGAGTTGGAAATAGTTCTCATCAGAACTAAAACTATGTCCATCTGAATATTGAGATGCATCAAAAGATCTGACACTCTCCATGCCATCAAAACTTGGATGTTCGGGTATCCGACTTTCGAAGTCCCATGAACTTCGCACACGTAATTTGGGATATTGATGATCCAAACATTCCTGAAGATTGGGTTTGAACATAAAATAGATAAAAAAGAAAGGATGTTACTAATTAGTACCATTAGATAGTAAATTTAAAGTATCCTTAAATAGTAAGGTCAAAGAATCAATAAATAATAAGTTTATATTAAAATTATGTTAGAATGTATTAAAATATACGAAAGTGAGTGAATTTTTATGTTTTTTTAACAAAATTAATCTATTTTTACTTTCTTACTGATTAGCATTTTCCAAAGAGGAATGCAAATAACAAACTTTAATGCTTTAGAGCAGTTAAATACATTTACCACTTCAGTTGAGGACGTATCATCTCCAACCACTTGAAGCATGTCCTTAATTTGAGATTGAGCAAGGTCCCGCTGCAACGTCAGATCCATTACCTCTTTCTTTAACTGCAAGCGCAGAGGGACAAGAACATAATTCATATTTACAGCTCAAAATGTTCAGGCGTAAGCAAATTACAGTGTGTTCCTTGCGCATTACTTAAAACAAATATGCTGGTCACACATGAATGGTCAGTAACGATACATGATAGAAAGAATATTTGAATGTATTTTCTCAAAACTAATTTATAATTATATAAGAAAAAGACCAATTAAAAGAGGTTGATTTGAGAAGTGAATATTTCAGGGAAGGGACTTAAAATGAGAACCTCTGAGCTAAACTCTCACCCTTTTTTTATGATTAATACAGTATAAAAGGTTAATAAACATAGACGAAGGTCACCAAAGAGATTATACAATAGAGTAAGGTCAATAAAACATGAACTGAAGAGCATTGCAGTACCAGTAACAAATAGTTGAAACAACGATATAGTTAGAACATCTACTACCTTACAAACAGTGCAATCTACAAATTAAGGAAAAGCATATACTTCAATGTAACATTGTGGCTTATTTCATTAATATATCAAAATGCAATTTTAGAAATTTTCCTTGAGGTTCGAGATAAAGAACATATTTGACTTTTCAAGCATAAAAACCACAATGAATGTTTGATGCAAAAATCTTGATTATTACCATCTTAATTTGGAGGTCTTTTTCCCTTAGCAATGCCTCAGAATCAGATTTTTGGCGATTTGACCCTGAATTTCTCAACTCATTTTCCAGTCTAGCCAACTCTTTTTGCAATTGCTTGACCAACAACTTATCCGACATTACTACGTTGACTTTTGCATTAGTTGTCACTTCTTTAGCACAAGTTGCGAACAAAAGGGTGTTTCTGGTTTGTTCAACATGGCTCCTTGCAGGACTCATGGTGCAGATGATTGCAGTTCTAGCATTGCCTCCTAATGAGGATTGTAGAATGCGGGTTAGCTTTGAATCTCTGAAAGGAATATGTCCATTTCTCCCCTTGCTGCCATCAAATTCATTAGTTTTACTTTTAGATCAAAGTAAAAGAAATATTTCCCAAAAATGAGTATAAAAGGGTCTTAATATATTAAACGTTGATTATATTGACACGTCAAATAAGTTTACGAAAACTAGTCTGAAAGAGTTTCATCTACTCATAATTCCCAAAGTAATAAACTTGGTAGTACAGAATCTGTTGACCAAGGATTATCGCATAATAAGAATGTAAATATTTTCACGATTAAGGAGTGTGCTAGAGTTTGGGGCATTATATTTAAATGTGTTTCTTCCATGCCTGTCAATTTCACAGGCAATGGAATAAACACATATTTCATGTCAATATTTGCTATCAATAATCTATTTGTACCAAAAGTAGAGAAGGATATATATTGAAACAGAGTTGACCAGTCAATCAATATAAACGTGCATAAAAGTGAGTAGTGAAAGGAAAGACGATAGTGAGAGACTTTATTCAGGTCTCCCATTTTGTCTTAATACAGTTATGTTGGAGGTGCTACCGTTAGAAAGATCAGTAATTCAGTAAATCAAAATCACAACCTCATATTTGAAGAGCGGATTACGGAGTCACCACTAGCCATTGTAGGAAGAAAAATTATATCATGTGACCCATGAGAAGCCATATGGTTATAAACGTGAACAATCTCCCTACGTCTCTAAATCCAAAATGTATCTCTGCTCTTTCAAACTTACCCGAAGCTTATGGATAAGCCTAAACGAATATGGAAAAGTAGGGTGCATTTAGTCGTGTAAAAAATATATTGAGATCCTACAAACCTTAATTTGCGGATGACAGTTCCTAGTGTTAGTAAACTTCGATTTATGTGGCAACCCTCTTTCAACCTTGCACCAGCTGAATTAGTTTGGGATGCTCGCTCACTCCCAGCAAGATCAACAAAATTCTGCACCCAGAAAAAAAAAAATAAAAAATAAAAAAAAAAAAATATATATATATATATATAAATATAAATATATATAATCATTTTGATTTCCTATTAATATTCTTTAACGTAATAAAGTAATTTCTTGTATATTTTTCAGTAATTTGAGTGAATCAATCATACCACAGAAGCCGCAAGGGAATCTTTTCCCAGAAATTCACGTGCTGAACTTTCAATTGTCTGAAGAACCACATTATTAAGGAAAGGTAAGCAATGAGGTATAAAATTCACTCCCTTTCAACAAAAGTAGGAGCATATGTACCAGTCTGAGAATCTGATGAGATCTGGAGCTTGCTTCATTCAGGGCGGTCTCTCCTATCTGCCTTTGATCTGAAAACATGCAATCAATGGTAGGATAAGTATGTAGCTCAAAATAAGCAAGAATCATCCAAAGTATCCTTGGTCCTTACTTTCACAGAAAGAAATAAGTTCTTGAAAATGGTTCCAGTCCCGCAAAGTTTCCTCCGTGAGTCTCTCAACAACTGTCCCTTTCTGTTTAAATTGCAAGCTGTTAGTAAAATGTATAAATTCCAGCTTTATCATAAAGGAGATGATAAAGATATTTACCTCTGGATCATCAAGAAGTCTGAGAGGTGTACTGTCCGTGCTAAGGAGGTCCCTTACAGATTCATTATAGATCTCAATGGCTGAAAACTTCAAAACAAATTCCCTTTCCTTGTGCTGTGAAAAATCAAAATATAATCAATATAACGTTTTAATAATGACCAGGTAATGCAGCGATGTGGTCAGATTTCATTTACCTTATCTATGTAGTTGAAAATATCTGCTACGGTGTACTCTGTTATGCCGCTCATGGTGAATGTTTTTCCGCTGCTTGTTTGTCCATATGCAAAAACGCTTGCTGATAAAATAGATAATCAAAGATTAAATAAGCCCGACCAAAGATGGTAATATAGAATTTTCATGCACGTGCGGGTATATGAAGGAGGAAGGCAGAAAAGAGAAAAGGAAAAAAAGAAAAACTCACAGTTGATGCCACAGAGAACTGAAAGAGCAACTTCCTTAGCTGCTTCTTCATACACTTGCCTAGTGGGGCAATCGTTCCTAAATACCCGATCTACAGCAAAATAAATCAAGGTGGATCAAAAGAGGGAAGCAATTTTAGCTTTTAACCCATGTTGATCTGATGGAATAAAAGCCAAGCATAGTCCTGGCAGAATGGCTTTAATAACAAAAGCAATGAACCACCTACTTCTATTTACAATACGACCATATTTATGTGAAATTTACATAATTTTCTCCAAAGCAGAAAGGTGATAAAGCATCCAACAAAACAAAATAAAATGCAACACTAAACAAAGATCCCGAATAGATTCAAAGCCCTTCATTTTCTTGTAGCAGCGTGATCAACATCAATTAAGGTAAATACCCACCTTATTCTCCAAGTTAATGCAGCCTTATCTTAAAAGTGAAAAACGATCGAAATACGAGGAAACATTCGCTATCTGGGGCTGCATTGTGAAAAGCAAAATTAAGATCATGTTTTTACTAATTTAATTTTCACACAGAAAAATGTTTTCAGCTAAAAGCGCTCTGCATTTCGATTATAAGTTCTCATACAAACCCGCAGTAAATCGATACATGGAATTGTTAAGTTATCCTCTTCATACCAAATGTATAGGCTGTTGGATACAGGGACTTTTCGGAAGCTGAAAGGTTGCTCCTGTACATAATGGTAGTGTCATTAATGCATTCCCATTCAGAAAGATCATTTCTTGCGAGCTCCTTTTCATTCAAAGGTCGCACACGAACAGAAACAAGAATCCTCTCATGACTGCCTGTTGGGCTTTGCATTGCCTCCTCCCCTGCAATGGAACCCATTTTCTCAACTTTTTCTCTACCCCTTTGATTCCAACGATGACAATGAGATCATGTCCCGAATTCAAAGCACCCCAAAAGGCCACTTCGGCATTCAGTTATTTTATTACTTTTCCAGTTGTTTAACAAAACTTGTATTGTACTGTTGTGGGGATGGTACAGGACACAAGGGCCACCGAAGCTTTCAACCCCCAATCATTATCTGAAGGAACAAACTAATCATAGGTTACGGCTCCATAAACAAGCAAAGGAAAATAAAAGAATGATAATGTTAAATGCAATTTTAAATTCAGATGTGTCAGAGAGGGAGGAAAAAAAGTAATTGACCAACGTGAAAGCTCCTATAATTTCGACACAAAAATTGTGGTGCTCTCTGTATTCTAATTGAAAAGTTGAAGAGTTTTCTGGGATGTTCCCCGAGACAAGGAACAGACTGTCAAATTCTCCCTCACATGGAACATTTGGAAGTTTGGAACTTGTTTAAGAAAATTACCAACGGTGACAAGGACTGAAGAGTCAAATTTTCAAGGGAAATTCTTCAGCAACTTCGTGTGCTGAGAAATTCAGAAATAAAATTATGGATTGCCAGAAGAAAAAAAGAAAAAAATTGAATGGACGCAATTATCTTACTAAAAATCCTAGCTGTTTCTTTGCTGTTGGATTAGTTTCAATTCTCCCAAATTTAGCATGTAAAAGATTATTGAAACAAACTCAATTACACGAATAGGATAAATTAGAAAATAAATATTATAGAAAAAATAAAACAAAATTGCATAGCTTCTCTCAGCTTAACAGTTACTATGACGCAAATTTTGCGTGTTTTGGAAGAAACCTTTAAATTTGGAACCTCAGCTCCCGAATTAAAATCTGACCTTCAGATAACAAAATTTTGATCTATTATTATCGATCAAACGCCGGGAAATTCACATTTTCAGCATAAACAAAACTCGAGAATAAATTTTACCAAACAAAATTACCAGCACTTATAACAACCTTATTATTATTATTATTATTATACAGAATTCAGAGGATTTTAACTTCAGATTAGTGTAAGAAAATAGTAAACACAACGTGGAAGTTTAAAATCAACATCTGAAATAGAGAAACGAAACAGCATAAAAATTGCAAGGAAATTGAGAAAAGAAAAATATGGAAGACGAATATTGAAGCATTACTTCACCTGAGGATGGAAATGCGATCTCAAATTGAGAGCGAGAACAATGAGCAGACGAGAAGGTGATGAAAGGAATAAAAATCGAAATTTCTTGAGCTGCAGGCAAATGCAGAGATAAAGAAAAAAGGAAGAGAGAGAAAGCGTGAAAACTGTGAGTGTGCGTTTGTTTGTGGAAATGTCTCTGCGTTGTGTGCCTTTTGAAATAATGAGGAGAGGTTATGGCGTCTCCCTCTTAATTTGTTAGTTGCAGTCCACTCTACATTTTCAGCTTTTTTTTTATTATTTTCCTTTTAATTTTCAAACAAACAAATTTAACGACCGCGCTAAAGAAACATTCTTCTCTCACAAATCACTGTCGCGGGTAATGACCAACCTACCCATGACTCTGTAGTCCCTGTTACAGCTGACTAATGGGTATAATTTCAAATTTTCATTAATAAAATTTCAAATATTAAAGAGGATTCACGTTACTAATCCAGGAGGAAAATTCTCTGAATTCAAAAACTACAATAAGTTTTTTTTTTTACAAAAATTATTTGAAATTTTCAGAATTAATATAAGTGGAATCATTTAAAAAATACAAAATCATATTCACGTTCTTAAATTTTATTTCTTTAATTATTTTATTTTAATTCGTTTTAATGTGATCTTATTTATCATGTAATAAAAATCACAAAAATTAACAAAAATTTATAATTTATGGCAGTAAAAAATGATTACATTTGACTTGACAAATAAGATAAAAATTAAATAAAAATATAAAAAAAATAAAACAAAAAATAGAATACCAAATTAAAATAAAAGGCCAAAATATTAATTTTATCTTTTTAAAAAATTAATAATTTATAGTTTTAACTTAAAAAATTATATGTTAGCAATTAGGTATTTATCTTTGTTTACACACATATATATAGTGGGTATAGTATAACACTGAACTAAACTCTTCTGTGTCGAACATAATTCAACGTGATTCAAAGTTTTCTATAAATAACAAACACACGTTCAAAATTACATTCAACTTCTCTTTCCTTCTTACTTGTTCTATTTCATTTTAACACGGCCAAAAAATTATATTTTAAGTAACAGTATCTGAAAAACAATTGCACACCTCGATTCTTAAAACTTTTCGTCATTTCTACAATTTTTTCTCTTTCACCGTGCATCTTAATAAGGTTATTAAAGGTGCAAATATTAAGATTACATCTTCTCCCTCTCATTTTTAAAAAAACCTCAATGTCAAGCTCATCTTTTTGGACCTTCTTCAATTGGTAGTAGTATACTTAAACACGTTGAGGTGAACACTTTCTCCATCAAATGAGTCTTAAGTATCAAAGCATCCTCCAACAAATCACCTCTGTCATACGTTAATATCAATGAATTGCTATGTCACAGTGATAAGGCTGTATTAGGGGAACACAATCCTCCAACACTTTACCTCAAACAAACTAAGGTGCAGAAATATAATCTTAAAAACCACTTACCTCATTTTCCATTCAAAAGTGGAACACAAGGGATAAAAGGTGAGAGAAAGACCATAAATTCTGGGAATGGGAATGGGAATGAAGAATTTGTGGCATTGAGAGGACTGGTGAAGAAAAAACTATGAAATTTATTAACCTATTAAGAGGTGAGGTGATAACTAAATTTTCTTAGCACAAGGGATAAAAGGTGAGAAAAAGACCATAAATTTTGCTAATTTGTTACCATGTTGAAATGTTGTTTAGTGTAGTTGACGGTGTTATAACATTTCAGTGATTGTAGGAATTGGAGGAGAAAGACGATTTTTCATATAGGGAACAAACATTTTTTTCATGCAAGACCAAATTAAAAATTAGTTCATGTATGAAGAGAAAAAAATAGTTAAACCTAAATATATGAACATGAATCATTCATTCTAAAATTTTATGACAAATTATTATATTAGAATTAAAATTTCAATCTTACTTTCTTTTTCTGTTAATATTTAAAAAAATTGTGGATAAATATCTCTTAATGTAAACTGAGATAACATCCAACTCGTTCGGAACGTCTAAATTCCATCCTATATTTTATTTTTTTCCTAAAATTATAAAGAAATGTAAAATAAAATAAATTGGAAATACTCATTTCTTAAAATGAATATAAAATAAAATCACGATCTATTCATATAAACATTAATTTTTATGTAATGTAATTTTTAACGAATGATTGAAAAAGAAAAATGCTACTGTTGGATACACCGCAGCAGTGAGAACCGAAAAGGAAAAGGAGCGTTTCAATTATGTAGAAAGTCCGCAATCGGCGAAGCACATGCACATGCACATGCACGTGGTACCTTTTTCCAACTTTGATTTACACTTTATATGAGTGTAATAAAAGAATAATCACGGCACCAACACGTACCGCTTATAATTTGAACTTCAAGGATAATTGCTTTTCACATTTTCTTGCATCCAGGTGAGTTTCAAGGATAGAGTGAAATTTATGATTTGGAGTTTTATTTTAATTGCATTAAAATCACAATTAATTAAGAACCAAAATTTTTGTATTTGAAATAAATAAACAAAATATATTTTGATTTTGAGTATATTTAATTAACGGTTTAGTTTATAAATTTAAAAAGTTGTTTAAACAATATATTTTTTACTTTATGTAGTGAAGTAGTTAAAATTAATATTCTTTTCAATTTTTTATAAGGAATAAATAATTGAATCATCAAGATTAATAAAAAGTAGTTATAAATGTATAATATATTTTAAAATATTTAATAATAATAATTAGTCAAATTAGTGACTCGTATAATTAAATAAATAAATATATTAACTTAAATATTTAAAAGAAGAGTTTTATTGCTCTAATAGTTTTACTTTCGACTCAAATAAAATTTTATTAAATGAAAAACACATGTAGTCTAAGAATAAAAATAAGTAAAAAAATGTTTAACAATTGATGCATCTAAAAATAAGACTTTATCTTTTATATTTAAAACTAAAAATCTAGTAGTGTTATTTTTTAAAATTACATATAATAAATAAACATTTAGAGAAAAAATTTTGTTGTTCGTAATAGTTTTACTTAATGCAAAAATATTTAAAATTATAAATATAGTAGTGATATTTTTATTAAAAAATTAGAAAATTAGTTAATTTTTTTAAAACGTTATCCTTAATAGCCTTCCAATTTTTCAACTTCTAAATGAAAGTATTTGTTATCCTTTGACAATTGTTTTCTTATAACGTCTTATTCATTCAAATCAATTTCACAAACCTAATACCTATACCTCTCTCTCTCTCTCTCTCTCTCTCTCTCTCTGTCTCAGAGAAAAATGAAGAAAATCTCAAAAAATTCTTCGATTAAGGAACCTACGTCATCAAATTAGTTGACTTGCAAAGGTGGAGAGCACAACACGACTTAGTTTTCAAAAAGGAACGGAAAAGCTTTAAAAACAAAAAGACAGAACTCTATTCTATGTGTTTGGATGAGTATTTATAAAGCTGAGTTTAAATGAAATTGATTTTATGAAAATAATTTTAACTAAAAATGACTTGTAAGTGATATAATTTATGTTTAAAAATTCATCTTTTATAAATAAGTTTGTAATAAAATTATTATAATTTTTTAATGTAATATAAATTATAATATATAATGTTAATTGGTCCAAACATAGGTTTAAAAATAAAATTAATTTTGATAAAATATCTATTTTTTATAAAAGTATATTACAGTAAAATGAATGTGATTATATGATATTTTAACACAGATTCAAACTTGCAATTTCTCTCTTCACATTTGCACTCTTATCTTCAGTCATTTAAATGGTATTAGGCTTAAAGGTGGTAGTAAAATAGAA